CCGTCAGCTGACACAGCTGAAATGCTGCGAGGAGCCCGGGATCAGCTGGGGACTCCTCCAAGACTTTGAGCTCTCGCTGACCCCAGGCTCCATGGCTTTGAAATGCACAAAGGCCCCCAATGGAGACTCTTGTACATTTCGAAGCAGGGACCCACATGCAGCCTGAAGTCAGCAGGACTTCCCACTGGCTATACGTGGAGTTCCGCATTCTCATTAGGGGGTCTTGTACATTTCAAAGGAGGAATGCAAAAGTGCCTATCGACTAGTTGAGTAGTCAATAGAAATTCCATCGACTACTTGACTAGTCAGTTAACTGCAATGTAACATCCCCAGCTTGTATGCTGTGCAACTCACCTTAAAAACTGACAAAATTGTTTTACAAGAAACTTTCGTAGTCTTCTTCTGTGAATTATCAAATGGTGGCACGTCTTCTTGAAAAAAAAATCAACTGAGGAATATATTTCACTTTCTATTAGAACATGACAACCCCGTAAAAAAACCCTCATGTGCATCATGAATCTCACATCAGGTAATAAGCAGTATAATGTGTGTACTAAATATCCTGGCTGTGATAAGGGCATAAGTGGGAGACAGAGGACATTGGTTACATTTGGATAGCACTTAAGAGCATGGTCCTAGTTGTTCAGAATAGTAGCAGCTTGTAAAATATTGATTAAACTTAACAAATAATAATGTGTTGAGAACTATAAACCCTCTTTGATGCTTAGCACAAGCAAGTTGTATTTTAACTTCTAGAAAATGCCAGAGCAAACAAACAACAGAAAACCTGTGCTAAATTCCTCCTCCCCTTCCCCCACTGCACACACACCACAATGGCACAGTGCTTAAGAAAGTGTAACAATTGTACCAAGGGATATTTTGATCTTACCTAAATTATTTCCTTCACATGTACACACAGTACTTACAATATTTATAATACGTTACCATTGTTATTAAATAATCAACATGATTTCAAAAGATGGTTTTTTGAAATACTCTACTTACATTTTTTACATTTATGTAAAAAAAAAGTGTTTCCACTAACAAAAACAATCTGTATTGCTTGTTAAGTGCCAACAGTATGTTTGACACTGTTCAGGGTACAAACTGAAAAGATACAAATAAAAATTATTTTTTAATCACTAGGTGGTTAAATAAATTGGCTTTTTTTAAAAAAATCTTCTTGGCTGTACATTGTCCAAAACTGGTAACTCATGACAGTACAGTTTGGGAAAGTCACAGCCAAAAAGGCAGAATTTAATTTTAGTTATAATAAAAAGGAAAGTTCAAGTCATAGAATCTTTTTAATAAGTATTGTTTGTTAGAAAAATGTAAAATCATTATTATTAATAGTGTAAAGGTTATAAAAGATAGCCAATCACACAATAAAGAGCTAAATGAGTATAGATTCATGCAAGAGTGTTGCTCAGCAGTCATCAGACCAAGATGAAAGAGCCCACAACTATGTAAAACCCTAGAGATCATTTTTTCCTTCCCATAGAAATCATGTGACAAATCAGAAGTCTGTGACAAAACTTACAGACTTATACACAGTTAATAGCAAACCAAAAAGACAAGGGGTTATCTATCTTAATATATTGTGAATTTAGTCCTAGTGCCCTGACACAAATAGAACTGACTAGAGCAGTGGTCCCCAACGTTTTGGGGCTGCCGGGCGCCTGGGGGCGGGGTCGCTCACACGCTGTGCGTATGGGGGCGGGGCCACTCACAGGCCACGTGACTGGGGGCGTGGCCAAGCATGTGCCGCACGTCCAAGGTCGGCACCGGCATGTGCCGCGATCCCAGGCAGGGGCTGCCCAGGTTCCGCGCGGCACCCCCTGGACTGGGGCTGGGGCTGGCGCGGTGCCCCCGGGGCTGGGGCCAAGGC